AAAGAAACAGAAACAAGGGGGAAAACAGGGGGCGTCAAAAAGGCACATCTGGTCCAACGCGATCAGCAGGGGGCACAAACGAGCCCCCCCCGGCCTAGCACGAAAAAGCAGGCACCCCTTTTCCCCGGCACAGGCGCTTTGCAGACTCAATGGCCCCTCCCAGGAAGATCCCGGCTCCCCAAACCCTGGTATAAAAGCAACGACCAGGGTTTCATACAATAAAAAAAAATTCAACCCTCACCCAGTCCCTACAGACCACAACACCCCGATAATATCCACTTTTTTGAAACCCCAACCCCCAAAACAGGCCCTCACCCCCCGGGAGGATCTCGTAGCACTCATCAAGGTGGTTTACGGAACCCATTTGCCCAAAAATCAGGGTCCACGGGAAAAAACAGGCAATTCCGGCCCGAAAGGTCAGTAAAACTCCGAGAGGGGTGCTTAAATGACCCCAGGAGGAGACAGTAAATGCCATGAATTTTCCCGGTTCTCAGGCGGGGAAGGGGTTTCCCGCCCCTTGGAAAAAACCCGAGAATTAAACCTTTTATAAAACCAAAACCCCAAGGCCCCTTGGGAAAATTCAGGCCCCCGAGGGGAAAAAGCACCTTTTGGGGTTTTTTTGGGGGGGTTGGGGAATTTTCAAAGAAACCAATTTCCCCCCAAATTTCCCGCACCCTTTTCTATTTTCCCCAAGAAACCCGCTGCCCGGCAGACACACGAATTTTCTCCAAACAATATTTCCGAGGTTAAAATTGCTTAAAATTGGAAAACCCCCACAACCTGGGGTTTCCCTTCCTAAAAAAAGAAAACCCTTACCTTCGGTTCGACAACCCGCAGAGGATTAATTTTGGGAAACCCATCCCCCCCCTTTCCCCTACAACCTTTTTTCTCAGTTGAAACCCACCTTTCCAAAAATCAAAAAAGGGCCCCCCACAGTTTGGGTGCCCGCCCCCCTTGGGCGAAAAGAGGGGGCCCCCCCCAAAACCTGGAAAGGCCCCCGGTTCCAAGGATTAATTTCTTCAAAGACTGGGGGTCCAATACTCTCTATCTGAAGACTGGATACCTGAACAGGGGCTAATTTACTGTTTTTCATCCAGGCAGCAGGGGTGGGCAAATTCCCCAAAAAAAAATCCGCAGGACGCACTCACAAAAAAAACTGGTTTCTAAAAAACACGAGGTGGGGAACAGAACCACCGCATCAACTTCCCTTTTTTGGAAATTTTTAAAAGGCATAAAACCCCACGGGCAGAGAAAGGGAAAAACTCTGAGAGCCCTTGTGCCCGCATGCCCGCAATCCCCTCTCAGAGTAAAAATGGGGGGAAATGGCTGGGTTTTGGGGCTCAACTTCGGGCATCAACCAAACCCTTTTTGAAAATATGGGGCAAGCTCAACATAGCAAAAAGGGAAGAGCAAACCCAGGCCAACCCGCAAAAACCCGAAAACCCCCCCCAGGGGAAACTGAGAAAAATTTTGGGGCTTTTTTACTTCCAGGGAAACCCCCCACCAGCTCCCACAGGCCCCCCGGAATAAAAGCGGATCTTCCCGCCACCGCGCCAGCCTTTAAAGATACAAGCGCGTGTGAGCGGGAAAATTTCACTGTTGAAAAACCCCCACGGACTTGGAACCCCTTTTCGTGCCATTTTAAAAACAAGTGACATGCCCCCGGGGATCGGGTGGTGTTACTTTCTCCATTTATTGCACGGGGGGGCAGAGTGGGGGAAGGCCCTTTCTGACGCCCTTAACAATCGTGGAGGGCCAGGGCACCCTAGCAGTTGGAAAAAGCTACCACCCTACCCAAATTTCCAAAAACCCCGGGCCCCAGGCAGTAAAGAAGGGCCCCGCCCCCGAAACCCGCTGCTTAGCCAAGACGTAAAATTTTTTTGGTTTTTAAAAAACCGGGCCCCCGTAACCCGAAAACCTTCTCATCAACATTAAATTTTTCCCCGGGGTTTAACTTTCCCCCGGTACCCCCAAAAAATTCACCCAACCCCCGGAATTTTCTGAGGGGAAAAAAAAATTTTGGAAAAAGGGCGTTTTTACCCGCCTTGAAAAGGGGCCCCCTTTGAAACACCTTTGCCCCCAAAAGGGGGAAATTTGGAAACCGCTCCGGGGAAACGGGGGAAACCCCCCTCATTAAAAAGGCTTACCTTTGGGGGGGCAGGGGGGCATTTTCCCCCACTAACCCTTTTTTTTTAAAAAACCCTGGGAACCTCGCCACAAAAAGGAATTTTTGGGTAAGCCACCCTGTTTCAAAACCTTTTGGAAGGGGAATTTGGGGACCCTTTTTGGTGGTAAGCCCCCCTTCAGCAGGCCCGTGACTTTGGGGACTCTTTTTTGGAAAATGGGAAAGGAATTTTAAAAACCCCAAAATTTCAGGAACTTTGGCCTTTTCCCTTTCAAGGGAACCAAACCCCCCAAAACTTGGGGAGAAATTTCCCCGGGGAAAGGGAAAAAATTCAAGGCCAGACCTTTTTGGGTAAAATTACCCCATTCAAAGGAAAAATAAACTGGGGAATCTCCTTCCTGTTTGGGAAACTTAAACATTGGATAAAAAGTGGGCCCCTTCCGTACGGGCCTGATAAAAAGTTTTGGAAAAGGCCTACTCCCCGACTCCTAAAAGCCAAAAGAGAGCCCAAAGACGGGGGCCCCCTGGGAGGGGCAAGCAAAGATGTACTTCGCTTGTACGGTATACAAGATACGCTCGCCCATTGACTATGGGGCACCGGGGGTTTGCTCATTTTTCCCTTTCCCCCAGGGGCAGGCAAAAAGGGGGGAAAGGGCGTACAAAACCTAAAAAACATGCTTGGGGCCCCCCCTCTGGATCAACACCGTATGTCTCAGACTGAGGCCCGGGTTCCTTTCCCTTTGGGTGGGCAGAGCAAGTACATAAAACCCCGCAAAGTGGCCCCGATTTTGCACCCGGGAGCAAGGTCCCCCACCAAGGAGAAGGGAAATTTACAACCATGACACAAGATTTCCCCCAATCTTACGGACTACTCCTGGATTCGTTCGTTTTGTGGCTGGGTGGGCGGAAAACTGCGCCATACAAAACTCCTTGAGAAGATTTTTGACCTTCCTGTTGCGGGAACCCCTCCCCCACCTCCCTGGCCCCCCCAGATCCAGCCCATGTTTGCATCATGCAGCTAAACCAAACTCTAAGCGTCTCTGCGTCAAGACAAAACCCCCAGCAATTATGCTTTAAAAAACAAGCATGGACTGGCAGAGGGAGGCACATGTGCATTTTATTTTGCAGATGGTTCTGTCACTTTTACAAAGGGAAGAGAACACAAACTGGACTGTACCCCAAAGGTCCCCACAAGGCTGCGACTCCCTGACCCCTTTCACTACCTTCAAGTGAGCTGGTGGGCCCAATTTGCAGGCCCTTCCCCCATGCCTACGACATCGACTCCGACCTGTCATAAGTTGTTTCCCCGTCTGCAATCAATGCCCTCTCCCATCCCAACCACGGACAATTTTTACCTCATCAATTTGACCTGGGAAAAAAACATAATGACAAGCCTTAGAATTTTAGGGTAAAAATCGAATTGAACTGGATCCCCCCCCATGTGGCATCCGGAAAATGAGGCGGGAGAAAGATGCAGCCAAAGGGAGCAACAGCTATCCAAATGTTGGGATTACTGTCCAAAACAGCCTACCGGCCCGACCAAAATGGGGGCCCGCCCGAGCCAAAGAAAATTTTTGGGGGAGGGGCTTAAAGGGGTTTCCCCATCCCAACAGTGGTACCGAGCAGCGAAATCAGGGGGAACCCCCCCCATATGAAAGAAGCTGGTCCAGAGCGCAGGGGTACCTCCATCCATTTTTCTCGTTTTGGGGTTTCCCCCAGCCGAGATGATGGGAGACAAGGCTGAGGAGGGATGTCCAAAATACTGTCGCAGGGTTTTCCCCGCGGCCCCTTTAAAAACAAACTTTTTTTCTGGAGTGCGAAGTTACCGAGACACTCCCCAAGGGCCAAAATTGGAGTGATTTTCCCTTCCGATGAGGACCCGAGATGACTGCGGCTACACTATGTCCATGGGGGTCACCCAAAAAAAGGGCAAGCTGTTTTACCCGTGATAACGACATATCCCCTCCTCCCCTTGTGGTCCATTTAGGAGTTTAAAAAAGGTGGTTGTGCTTATGGAAAAAAAACCCTTGAACCCGACCCAAAAAGTGCTTGAGAAAAATTTTCGTTTGCTTTTAAACGAGAAACCCTTTTTCCCTCGGGGAGCCAAGGGAACGGGTAAAACGAAAAAATTTGGGCCCCTGCCAGGGCTACGGTCTTGGCGAAAATTTTTATTTTCATAAAGAACAAGGTGGACAAAGACATGATGTTCCAGAGATGGGACACAGCAACAAGGGGTCACAGTTTGAAGCTGAAGACTCAGATGAATCACAGGGATGTTAGGAAGTATTTCTTCAGTCACAGAGTAGTCAGGAAGTGGAACAGATTGGGAAGTGACATAGTGGCAGGATCCATACATAGCTTTAAGGATCCATACATAGCTTTAAGAAGAGGTATAGCAAACCTCATGAAGCAGGAAGAGTGACCTAGTAGCAACTTGTGAAGAAGCGGGGACAGGAGCTGTAATCGGCCTCCTGCAACCACAACTAGGTGATAACACACACACGCACAAGACTAATGAAGAGCCTAGGCCAGGAGCTGTGACTCGACCCCTGCAACCACAACTAGGTGAGTACTACTGGGTGAGTACTCACACACACACGACCAGTGAAGAGGCGGGGCCAGGAACTGTGACTCTTCCCCTGCAACCACAACTAGGTGAATACACACACACACACACACACACACACACACACACACACACACACACACACACACACACACACACACACACACACACAGCTGCACCCCACCTAATAAACTTGACACTTGGTGGCTCTAGCATCTTCATTAATTTGAAACACTTGCTAGTTCCCTCACACTTTATAGCTCCAAAACACTTGCTACCTCCACTTATACCCTCAACAACCCACCACAGGTATGGAGCTGAGGAACATATTAGGTAGAAGTGCTTACCTTGGCCCCGGCAGCTCCAAGATGGACGTTATCAACGAAGTTGTCAAAAAGCCCGTAAGTTGTTCCTCTTTGTTATTGTTTAGGAAAAATAACAGTAAAACGTGTGAATACAAATTGTCTCAGTGTGACACAAGATTTATTCACCGAGAGGTGCACGTCTCTCTGAGTATATACAACATGAATTTTAAGAATTAAAGTATTCTTGAATATTGATGAACAGGTGACACGTAGAGTTAATGACCCTCGTGTAGTCGATAGACTTAAAATCCCATTAACTAACGATGATTCTAGTTACTAACTACTCAGCATGAGTAGTTAGTAACTAAATTACCCAGTAAATAGTATTATTAATTGTTGTGTAACTAAAATTAGACATTAGTTCTCAGCAGGTAACTGCGATATAGACCTCAAAATCTTCTGCTGCCTTTTCTCTGTACTTATGTGTGCCTTGAAAAGCTTGCAGTACTATGAAGGTTTAACTCCAAGGCCTTTTTCAAATAAGTGACGTAAATTTGTTTAAATGAAATTATGTGTTTGATCTCTTTGTGAAATTATCTTTTCTGTCATCAAACTTTTCACTTTTAAAGGCACTTACGTTGAAATGTTTGCTGGTGTGTGTATGCTTCGGTGAGTGCCAAGGTTACCACTCGTATTATAGATCCTCCCACTGTAAAGTGACTGTACGCTTGTGTGTGTATGTGTGTGTGTATGTGTGTGTGTCTGTGTGTTTGTGTGTGTGTGTGTGTGTGTGTGTGTGTGTGTGTGTGTGTGTGTGTGTGTAGGTGTTTGTGTTTGCAAAGCAAAATAGTAGATATATAATATGTAACACATTGCTCGAAATAACCTCCATCCCTTGATATTCTCCCACTGACAGGGCCAAGATAAAGCCTTCTATGTGCTAGATATTAGCGAGGTGGTGGAGAGGGTGAAGCTGTGGCGACAACTGCTGCCTAGAGTTGATATCTTCTACGGTAGGTCTTTATAAATGTACGATGAGTGCTTACACAAATATATACAAGTTTATACAAGGAGTTTAACAATCGTTTGTGTCTTCTTCCACATGTCTATATCATCATACCCTGTACAACCCTGTGGTGTGACCTGAAGCAGTGAAATGCAACAGCGAACCAATTGTGTTAGGGTTGTTGACTGCTCTGGGGACTGGCTTCGACTGCGCCTCCCAGGTGAGTCATCTGCTTGGGGTTACCTCCACTCGTTCTAGGTGAATCACCCGTCTGGAGAGTCCTAGGTATGTGGTCTCTCCGGGGTTTCCCAGCAATATGTTACCTGTATATAAATTTAGCTTTTGTATTTACTAAATTCTTGGTTGTTTTGTCATTATTCTTCCATGACAATCTCATAAATTTCCCGTTTGAGATCTATACAACAAGGGGGAGAGATCTGTGTTGGAAAAAGGGATTACGCTAAGTTTTAAAAGAGGGAAACTTAACTTTGAAAGACAGCTCTTTTGCCCCGCACGCCGCCCCCAGACGGGTCTTGAAAGGTCGAATCATCTTAAAAGGGCTGTAAATGGTTACAATTTTTTAAAAATTATAAATTACCCCTGGGGGGGGGGGTTTTTTTCACTATTTCATTTAGTTGTGCAACTTCGTGTGGGACCAAAGGTCCCGCATATCACCGGGGGTTTTTGAAAAGTGAAAAACTCACGACTTTATACTCACTGCGCAGTCATAGTAGTAATCACGAGTTAAACCTTTCCTGGGGGATGTGGGATCTGACCCCTAAAATTTTGCCCGGTATCCCTTGAGTTGATTGAAGAATAGTGTTCTTTGAAGAATGTCGCACTACACTCTGTTAGTCGCAACAATCGTTTTTACACTGTTCATCAAAATTGTTCACACAAACCTAAGAAGTTGATCACACTTCTCTGAAATGTTTATCGTGGGTTTTTTGAGCCTTTGTTCACACTAAACACAGATTTCTTTGTTGGTTATCCCGGCGTCAGTGTCACTTCGTAAGGGCAAAGAAAACTGAAGACCCACGCACCCCTGCCCTCCTGCCCCCAGCAAAAGGAAAGCGACCTACACCTTTTCTTCCCTTCCACTTCCCGATGAAGCAAAGAAATTTTGTTTCCCGCTGTCTTAAGCTAGACAACAATGTCCCTATCTTTATTGGGAATAAATGGGTGCGGTTTTTCTTGTCTGTAAGGTAAGAGTGAATGTCTTTTATTAAGCTACACTTTGCAACACAGCACCGCAAAGGAGCTCGAGCCCGTCACATACTGGTACTGCTTGGGGTCAATTACTCCTGTACAGTAAAAAAGATATTTTTCCCCCTTTTGAGAGGGCTGGGCCCCCCAGGGCTGAAGGGGGGGAAAAGG